GAACATGCAAACTCCACACAGAAAGACCCCGGCCTGATGGTGGAATTGAACTCAGGACCTTCTTGCTGTGCGGCAACAGTGCTAACCACCGTGCTACCGTGCTGCCCATTTGTTTGAGGGTAAAAACTAGAATTAGTTTTGTAAGCTTTAACCTGAGATTCTGGTGTTTCTGCCAAAATACATTTGTGTTTAAAAATCAATTTAGGATTTAATCAATCGATATCACATTGCTCAAATTAAAATCAATTTGAATTGGGAAATCGATTTTTTAAACCCACCACTAGTGCGTACTAAAAGTTACATATTATTGGGTTTCAGTTTGATTTTTGGGATGTTTCTTAAATTAAAGAAATAAGACTGGATGATTTTTGAGAGGTGCTATTCAAAACAAACACTGGTCAAAAATAATACAATGCTTCCTAACAGCTGATTTGATGTTGTTAACCTTGGGCTAAGTGTAAAAGCAGACCTCCTTAGCTGTCTGGGCCAAATAAAGTAAAGATGAGGATAAATATAATGAGAAGTGCCAGGAATACTAAGCCAATTCTGTAATCTGTCAGTAAGAATGATCAGTCTTAATCTACTTTAAGATCCATGGCTCTAGCTGATTATAATCAAACATATCTTGATTTGGAAGGAGCACCTCATTTTTAGACTTGGTAACTTTATTGCAATTTTGTATCTTTTGCTCCAACTGCCCCCCCAGGGTCGCCATATGCTCGGGCAAGTGTGAAGAGCAAGAATGAGAGTTCATCTTACTTCAGGAGAAAAGAGAAGAGGATTCGCTTCACCATCCGGCGTCTGGTTAAATCCCAGAGCTTCTACTGGACAGTGTTATGTCTGGTTGGCCTAAATACACTGTGTGTAGCTATAGTACACTATGACCAGCCTGAGTGGCTTACCTATGCACTATGTAAGTATTCAACAGTTCTATACATTTTAAATAATTTTCTTGTAATCCTGTATGTTTTCATGGACCTGTACGTTTTCAAAATCAATTTTAACTATAGTTACTAGTTGCTTAATATTAAATGTATTTTAGCCATTACTTGATATAAAAAATTCTCATATCAGTGCATGGATGGCTTTATTATTTTATTTTGGCCATGATACAGCTTGAAACATGATAGTTGTCAAAATGGATTTCAAGTGATTCTCTACTCATTGTTGAGATGGAGCACTTTTTAGCCAGTTAAACCACGAAGAGGACCATTATCAACAGTTGAAGCAGTATTTACATGAAAGTAACTGCAAGTGTGCCATTCAAAATGAAAACATAAATACTCATGCCACTCTTTACCACCTAAAGTAGATAGCTTACACCTGTTGGTTCCGTCTTACCAGTAATGTTATAACAAATCAATATTACAGTTGTGGTCAGATGTTTACATTCATTCGTTATGGGAATGAATGTCATGGTAATTTTGAGCCTTCAGTGATTTCTTTTAACTCTTAGTTCTTTCGCCTGGATGGAATTGTTGTACAACATACACATTTAATGACTTTAAAAAGCAAGAATTGGGTGCACAAGCTGGAATTTGGTTTAATTTTTTTTAAAATCCACAGAATATGAAACATATACATATAGGCTCAATATGTGCACACACTCACAAGTCTGTAATAAGTGGTGCTAAAGGTTGAACAATGTCTTTTAACTTGACACAGTAAACATCTATTAAATTGCCATTAATGATCATGATTGACAAGAACCAGTATGTCTTTGATAGCATAAAAAGGATTTGTTTTAACTTGATTTTGCACTAATTGGACATTTAGTAAGAATAATGGGAGTCCAGGGAATTAAGTGAAGAAATATGGTATCTAACCAGATTCCCTACTCTGGGTGGCTTTGCCTTGGCCTCTAGAATCCTGGAGTAGTTTTTTGACCAAGATATGTCCTTCAATGTACATACTGTAATAAACAATTATGTAGGACTGCTTCAATATCTCTAAAATTAGAAACATCCTGTTTCAGAGTGATGCTGAAAACCCAGTTCATGAATTTCTTACTTCTAGAGCGGACTACTGTGATTTGTTACTACCAGGATGTCCTAAAAACTCCCTGCGAAGCCTTCAGTAACAAGAGTGCTGACAGGGACTAGAAAGAGAGAGCATATTTCTCCTCTATTGGCTTCTCTTCATTGGTTCTCTGTTAAATCCAGAATACAATTTAAAATTCTTCTCCTCACATAGAAGGTACTGTATAATCAGGCGCCAGCAGGTCTTAAAGACCTTATAGTACAGTATCACCTCAACTGAGCACTTTGCTCTCAGTGTGCGGGCTTACTTGTAGTTCCTAGGATATTTAAAGGGAGAAGTAGAGGCAGAGTCTTCAGTTTTCAGGCCCCTGTTCTGTGGAATCAGAGTATTAAAGTGTACAGGGAGTGCAGAATTATTAGGCAAATTAGTATTTTGTCCACATCATCCTCTTCATGCATGTTGTCTTACTCCGAGGTGTATAGGCTCGAAAGCCTACTACCAATTAAGCATATTAGGTGATGTGCATCTCTGCAATGAGAAGGGGTACGGTCTAATGACATCAACACCCTATATCAGGTGTGCATAATTATTAGGCAACGTCCTTTCCTTTGGCAAAATGGGTCAAAAGAAGGACTTGACAGGCT